ATACCGACTCACTGCCTATCTTTAAATCAGTAATACTATCATACTTAGCAACTAATTAGTTTTACTTTATGTATCTTGACTATTCGTATTTTGACCTGCATGTATTTTTAATTGTCTATTGTAAAATTGTCTTCTTTGTCCGCGATTTCGTTTGCTCGCCCAAAACGGTGTAGGGCCCTGCGCGTAACAAGCATTGATTGGTGTCGTAAGGGCCACTTGATTGTACTGACCATAGTGCACCAACGTCCAAGATGGGGTGCCCCCTTTTTACATTAAACACATATCTAGCACAACTAATAAATACTACATTTAGCTTTTTCTTGCTTTGAGCATTCCTATTACCAAATATTTCAACTCCATAAAATAAAATCGGGGTGACCACGGCCTTTGCAATTAAAGGACGGCAGTTCTCTGGTATGAAAGACTGGGTATAATAAAGAGCCCTAAGGCATCCATATATTTTCCCTACCGGCTGAGTGATATGGTCATTCCACTTCAAACTTTTATTAAAAGTTTTACCTAAATTTTTTACTTTTTACACATACTCAATGGTTTCATTCCCTATTTTAAGTGGGGACAAAACGCTTGTGTCTATATCGGTTTTATGGATTACAACGCATTTAGTTTTGCTAGGGTTAAGCTGGAGACCGTTTTTGAAAGACCAATTTTTTAAAACAGCTAGCTCCTTGTTGACTATAGAAACACATTCATCAACTTTGCACAACGGACGAGATACATACATCTGAACATCGTCTGCATACATATGGACATTACACGAAGATATTATATTAAGAATTTCATTAACATGCTAAATGATGCTAGGATGAGCTTTCCGTTGGTGTTACAACTGCCTGCCTTTTACCAGTCAAATAGGAACGAATTAACTTTTGTGCCGTATTAGAGAACATGAACTTATTTGCTAGTTTTGAACGTGATTCACGGTGTCAAAAGCTTTGCTATAATCTAGCGGTGTCAGTAGTGTTACGTTACCCTCGTCTAGTTTTTTTCCTAATGTCTTCTACAATTTTTAATAGAGCTGTCGTACACCTCCTCGATTTCTTAAAACCCGATTGAGCCTTATTTAAAAAATTCTGCTCTTCAATATACATATTTATTTGGTCAGCAATTAATCGTTCGCCGACTTTAGCCAAGAATGGTAGGACTGATATTGGAGGAAAATCTTTGTTCGCTTTCGGAATAGGGATGATTCTTGCATCCTTCCATTGATCAGGGAAATGTGACGTAGTAAACATTGTATTTATTATGAACGTTATGTGGGGTAAATTTTGTAATAATGCGGTAATCATTTTTATAAATTTCGGGTCTATTCTATCAAGTCCGACAGCATTCGAGTGAATGTTTAAAACAGATTGCAGGACATCACATTCATTAACACAGAAAAAACTAAATCTACTAATACAGGATATATCACAGTAATCATTATATTCAGTATGCTCAGACAAGTCAGTATAGCAAACCTCAGGTACTTCACAATTTCTTATTTAGCTCATCAACGTTTATATCCAGGTCAGCGATAGCTTTTTGTTTTCTTATTCCTAAAGCCTTAAGTTCCTTTCAGGTTTTTCCCACCACTAGAGCATCTTTAAACTTTCTATTATAGCAGTCACTTTTAGCAGGATGTATCAGTTTGCTGACATTTTTCCTAGCAGTCTTGAATTGATTGTAAAAGTTACTAGTTTTATACCGTTTCCATTTCTCATGGGCCTCATCTCTCCGCCTAATTGCTATACAAATTTTTCTGTTAAACCATTCGTGCTTAAATCGTTTGGGAGTTATAATTTTAACGGGAACACACAATTTATACAGACGCAGGACATTTTCTTGGAAAAAATCTATTTGTTCATTTACAGAAATTAAACTATACAAAGAATTCCAACCGGTCACCGGTTAGTAAAATTTCATTATGCGTCAACGATAAATCCTGAAAAAATGATATGAAATCAGTATAGTCAATTGTTCTATTTGGCCTGTATGCACATCTCAAAAGCATTGTACCAGAAAGAACCAGTTAGCTCAATAAATAAATATTCTACCAAACTGGAAGCGTCATTTCTGCAAATTAATTTAGCTTTAAGTCCCTTACGAAGATATATTGCAACACCACAAGCATCTCCATCACATTTTTTTCTGACTAAAAGCACTATGAGACCTTTTTTTACGAGATCTGCCTAAATGCCTTCTGCATGATTTAATTTTAGTCTTGAAATCGAAAAGATGTCGATTTGCCTCCGGTTCCACAAACCCAAACCACAAGACCCAAAATCATGGAAAAATTGAGTCTGAATCGTGTCTTAGAGGAGGGGTGCACTAAGAAAGTTGCGGGGGGCCTATTTGGCATCACGTTGTTATACCCGTTACTCGTAGAGTAAAAGGGTATATATTGCATTCGTGCAAAAGTATGTAACAGCTAGAAGGAAGCGTTTCCGACCACATAAAGTATATATATTATTGATCAGGGTCACTAGCCGAGTCGATCTAGCCATGTCCGTCCGTTTATACGCAAACTAGTCTCTCAGTTTTGAAGCTATCGCACAGTGGGGCGAAAAAGCCAAAAGTCTGCCTTAAATCAGCGGAGCCCTATATCGAATATCTTTTGATGGGGCATTGTTGAAGGCAATTAAATATGTAAAAAACATCATAAGGTGAATTTTTTTAGTGAAATTTTTTTGTTGTAGAAATTTTTTAAGAAAAAATAAATTGTTTTTTTAAGAAAAAAAATATAAATAAATTACTTATAGGGTTCTAAGTTTCCCAATATTTTTTTTTAATTTAACTTGATTTTTGAAAAAAAAATTATTCAAATCGGTCAACTATATCTTATAGCTGCCATATAAACGCTTATTACAAAGGGGAATGTCTCGGTTCTATTTCAATATTGGTTCATATAAATTGGGATTAAGTCATTATTTATCATTTTAGCTCTATGCTTACCTTTTTTTAATTGGTCAATGATATCTTATAGATGTCATAGAATCAATCAAGGAAATATAGCATATTTTCAAAAAAAAACTGGTAGAAACCGGTATTTACTTCATATATGTATTTTTAGTAAAATAACATAATTTAAAATTTTAAACCCAAATTTGTTTATTAATTTATCATTATCTTCATCAATACCTTCACATAAGTAAAATATCTTCATGATGTTAGGGCGCGCGAATGAACCAGGGCTGACGATATTTCAAATTATGAACATTTCTTGCTAACTTAAACTGCGGTTTTCTCAGAAGAGGCACAAAAGGGCAGGCTAATTTTTTCAGAATATGTAGTTAAATATCTAAACTTTTTTTTAAAAAAAGAATTAAACGGGGATCTAGTGTGTAACACTACTTTACGCCCAAGGATATCCAAAAAATCCCTTTTTTTTTGGACCACTTTTAAAAAATTAAAAAAAAATAGTAATTATGTATCTAAAATTTTTATTTTTTTTTTAATATTTTAAGAATTGGTTGCTCTTAAAATTTCAATCGTTACATATACGACTTAGGCCCTTGGGCGCTTTCAGAAAAACTTCAAAGATGTGTAAAAATACCTTTTTTCTTATTGGCTAAAATTATATTTCGAAAAATCCACTTTATAAATCTGTAGTGGGAGAACCATTTAACACAGATCACTCTTTCCTTTTGATGTGTATAGAGAATTCAATTGTTTTTGAAGTTGCATTGCAACATTTTGGGAAATCTTAAAAAAAAAAAACCATTTTGGCAGGCTTTTTGTTCTAGGCGCCCCACTGTGTATCGGCTTAAAACTTTCCCAAAAGTCTTCTTTCTATTGCAGGTAGTATATCTTATAGCTCCAATAGAAAGGGTCGGAAAAAAATTGTTAAAAAAATTCTAGCTTCGGTGTTTTTTGAAATATTACCTTCTACTCTTAGGAATGTTATTTTTTAAATATTTCTGAATTTCGAATTAAATATTTAAAAAATAGGACGACTATATCATATAGCTGCCATAGGAACGATCGGAAAATTAATGGAAAAGTAATAGGAAATAAATTCTAGCTTCCTTGGTTTTTTTTGTATTCTATTCTACTCTAGGATATGACTCTGTTTAAATATTTCCGAATTTCAATTTTAATTTGATCAAAATCCATAGGAACGATCTAAAAATTAATGGGAAATTAATTGGAAACAAATTATAGCTCCGTTGATTTTTATTGTATTCTCTTCTACTCTAGGATATGATTTTTTTTTTAATATTTCGGAATTTAACAAAAATCGGATGACTATATTATATAGTTGCCATAGGGATAGATAGAAAAATTAATGTCAAAACAATAAGAAATTTAAAATATTTACGATTTGCAAGTTAATAGGAATGATCTGCAAGGGTATAAAAGCTTTGGCTGGCCGAAGCTAGCTTCCTTTCTTGTTTTTTGTTGGCTTTGGCAGTTCAAACGACTCACAAACGATTTCCGAACACAGCTCTCGCAAAACAACGTCAGCAGAAGCAGAGCAAAGAGCAGAGAGAGAGAGAGAGTCATTTAAAGCAAAAGAGAAGGAATTTTTGTTTTGATTTTGTTGGTGTTTAATGGCAAAGTAGGGAAAAACTTTCAGTCACATTTACATGTAAAAAATGTAAAGTCACAAACACACATCGACAAGTCGTCACGTACATATGTATGTTAAATTAACTAAATTCAGGTGATCCTGATGGATGCAATTCTAAATCAACGTGTAGGTGGCCCGTAAAATATTCAGGAGTTTCACGGCTTTAACCTAAAACTGTAAAAAAATTACAAAAACGATTGGGAATAAGGTGTTTTTGCTTAAATTCCCGTTACTTTTGATTGATTTAAGATATGATGAATCAATAAATGGAACCACCATTTATGCTTATATACATAAGTTATGCTTTAATGACAATTCAATGCCTGTAGACGTACACACTAAAAACACTCTAATGCAGAGTTATTTATATTTATTTGTGAATATCTTAAATAATTTGTTGAGTGCTAATGACCTTTCCTAATCATTTCAGTTGAATCTGCAGGCTAGGTTCATCACATATCACATCTAACGGGGTTGGCATGCCGTTGTAGGCAGAATCCATAGCAAAATCTACGCCTCATGGATCCGTATTACCATATCAGACATCATGTGAGAGCTTTCATGAACAGGTCCATTATACTTTAAATATACGTACCTTTTTATTTTTACAGTATCCACCCACAAGCATAGCAGGCTCAGGAGCGGTGGTGGGCAGCTCGTCGACAATCAACCGTCCGGAACTGCATCAAAAATGCAACCGAGGTTCGCACTCCAGTGACACTAGTTCTGCGTACAGCGGTAGTGACACAATGGCCTCGAACTATGCCTCGTCTTTGGAGGCCGAGGAGATTGACCTTTCCGGCTTGGTGGAATCCGTCGTAGACTCTGACGAGGAGGATCTAGCGGAAAGCATGGATGTAAGTAATCAATAAAAGAAGATCAGGATGTAAATAATCAATAAAAGAAGATCAGGATCACTAGCCGAGTCGATCTAGCCATGTCCGTCTGCCTGTCTAAAATCTCGGAAAATACAAAAGCTAGAAAGTAGGGATTACCCACACATATTCTTGCGCTTCCTACGCAGCGCAAGTTTATTTCAGCCCCCTCTAGCTCCTACAATCGGCCACAACCGATTTAAAAAGGTGTCTGGCGCCCACATTTGTAAAGATTTCGGAGAAGTAAGCAATTTTGTTGTGTTATTTATACCTATCGAAATGTACAAGAAATTTTTTAAATCGGACCATTCCACTATGGGAAAAAAGTCAATTTTTTTGGCATAAAATCAACTTATTTTACAAATTATTTTTAAAAATTAAATATATTTTGTGAATTTACATTCCCTAATTAGCCAAGAACAGTTATCTAAGATTTTTTACTAACAACACTATAGAGTTGATAAGCGAACAAAGTCAGCTGTTCGATTGACTTTGTTGTGTGCGTTAATTAGTGAAAAAGCTTTGCAAACTTTTAGTGCTTATTTTGTGGAGCAACAAAAAGGATTATTATTTCTGATCATGTCAAATCGTAGCAAATGTATTTATAAATGTATCTTAGATTACATGTTTTGATTATTATGGCTTGTTGTCCAACTGTGAACTGTTTTAAATGTGTATCTTTTTAGCTTAAAACTAACAAGTTTGTTTGTGTTCCGTGGTGTACAACTTATAAATGGCACAAAGTTGCAAAAAGGTAAAAACGCAAAGTTATTACCAAATGTATCCTTAATATCGCAAAACTAATAGTTTTTGCAACTTTTTGCACGTTTCTTCAAAAAAATTACTTAAATCAAGCAACTTATAAACATAAAAAAAAATTTTTTTAAATACAAAAACAATTTTTAAAAAGGGACAATTCAAGTGAAAATCCTGGCTGCAAAGGGCTCAAATATAAAGAAGCTGGACCCCCCTTAAAGCTAAAATTGGCATTTGCTCTTAGATAATATTTCACTTTTCTTGTACATGTTAGCAATTTTTATTTTTTGACAAATTTTAAAAATTAACGTAAACCGAAATTATTTTACCGTCTTACCAATACAAATACAAATTTTTTAAAATCCCTGCCAATTAATTTGAATATGCGGCGTGGGCGGTGGATGAAAGCAATGGCCCGATTCAAAAAGCAACAAAAACAGAAATTACAGTTTTATCTTAATAGTATATATAAAAAATTTCTAAATTGTATCTCTAAAACTAGAGTTTATGCCAAAAAAAATAGACTTTTTTCCCATAGTGCATTCGGTAAAAAGCTGTGCCCGAGCAAAGTTTTATATCTCCATCTCTCTCGCACTCCCATTAGCTGAGTAAGGGGTATCTGATAGCCGGGGCACCCTACTATAGCGTTTTCTCTTGTTTATAAAAGTTTCATAGCGGTAGCACATCTATAGGTATTTATGGCCGCTGCTCCATACAAGCCCGACCACTGTGCACTCCAAAGAAAATATATTAAATTAGTCGAATGTACAAGCATTTTTTGTCACAAAATTTGAAATCAGAACTTATGTACCTTGTTAAACCTTGTTAAACCCTCGGGGTTGATGTGGACAACTGAAGAAAACTGCCGCTCGACATTGCTTCCAGAATATGGTCACAATTTTCACACGTTAGAAACTGTTTTTTATATCAGAAGTTTACTATTTTATCCAAGTTACTAACTTCATATTAACATTTGAATTTTAAGGTAAATAATCGAAAATTTCTATGCGTCAGCGTCGAGCGGAAAATTATTAACTTGAATAACTTTTTAACTTTTTAATAAATGGACCGGATAATTTCGAAATCCGGACCAAACAAAATTGCAAATTTACACTTTTGCAAAATATGTACTGATTTTGGCGCCAGCCCTTTTTAATGTCCTTTAAGACGATTGTGGGAGTTATTGTGAGCGAATCTTTATGGTTAATCTTATCTTTCTAGTATATATATTCTTAATCAGAGTCACCACCCGAGTCGATCTAGTCATGTCCGCCTGTCTGTCCGTATGAACGCTGAGATCTTGAAAACAATTAGGGCTAGAAGATTGTGATCAAGCAACGTTCACAAACCGTAAAAAACGGTGGCTCCCACAGTTTTAATTCTAGAATGATGCTACTATGCCTTGCATGGCCAGTTACCACTGCCTTTCGGTAGGTGGCGCCAATTTTATAATTGGTCATCAGATTTAGTTCTTGCTTTAAAGTTGGTTAGCTGAGTAACGGGTATCTAATGGTAGAGATACTTGAGCATTCTGTCCTGTTAATTTATAAATTCGGTGCACTTCAAGGTGTCAATCAAATGGGTTAATTGTCCGGCCAGGATCTATTCTTTTTTATTTAAATATACCTTTCACATTTTATATCAATGCAGAGTCTAACTGTTCGTGATGCAGTCCGTGACTGCCTGGAGAAGGATCCGGCGGAGCGCAGCGAGGAGGATGTGGAAGTGCTGCTCGAGTTTACGCAGGGTTTGAAAGCGTTTACAAACATCACACTAGCCGTACGACGAGCGCTGTGTTCCGTGATGGTATTTGCCGTGGTGGACAAGGCCGGAACAGTGGTAATGTCAGATGGTGAAGAACTAGACTCATGGTCGGTGCTAATAAATGGAGCAGTAGAAATCGAGCATGCACACGGCAGTCGCGAAGAACTGCAGATGGGAGACTCTTTTGGCATCCTTCCCACTATGGACAAGCTGTACCACAGAGGTGTGATGCGAACCAAGTGCGACGACTGTCAGTTTGTGTGCATCACGCAGACGGACTACTACCGTATTCAACATCAAGGTGAGGAGAATACACGTCGACATGAAGACGACAATGGGTTTGTGGTTATGGTCACGGAGTTGCGATCCATTGGAAGCGGCGGCACCGACTCTGCTGGTGGTGGCGGGTCGACAACAGGAGCTTCTGCTTCGCTAAATATGAAACGCGGTCACGTCGTAATTCGTGGCACTCCGGAGCGGCTGCTACAGCAGCTGGTCGAAGAAAACTCAATGACCGACCCAACATATGTGGAGGACTTTTTGCTCACACATCGCATCTTTATTAATAACCCGCAAGAGGTGACCAGCAAGTTGTTGCAATGGTTTGACCTAGATCAGGTGGATACACATAAGACGCAAGAACTGCGGGATCGCGTAACACGCGTGGTACTTCTTTGGGTGAACAACCACTTTACCGACTTTGAAGCGGACTATGAAATGATGGAGTTTTTGGAAGTCTTTGAAGCACTTCTCGAGAGAAAAAAGTTACTAAGCCAACTGCGTCTTTTGCACATAGCCTGTGCCGCAAAGGCCCGAATGCGCAGCTGTACTCTTGCTCGATCCTCACGCGACGAGCCGCTCAACTTCCGCATCGTAGGCGGCTATGAGCTTCGGGGAGTGGCCGCAGCCACAGGAAACGCAGCTGTCGGCATATACATTTCACACGTTGAACCAAGTTCTAAGGCCCAAGATGTAGGACTTAAGCGCGGCGATCAGATCCATGAAGTAAATGGCCAGTCTCTGGACCATGTGACTAGCAAGAGAGCTCTCGAAATCCTCACAGGTACCACACACTTAAGTATCAGTGTAAAGAGCAATCTACTTGGTTTCAAAGAGATTATGCAGGCTCTTGAGCATGGCTGCGGTACCGCTGGATCTGGAAGTATTTCTGCGGGCAGCGGAAGCTTCAAGTCTTTAAGAAGCCCGCGCCGTATCTGCGCCAATGATATAGCAAAGCTGCACGGTCGCTCGGATAGCACCACCGATGAATTATCCAGCGTTAACGCGTCAAATCGAGCTCATATGGTGCGACTTAGTTCCGTGGATATGCTACTCGACCAGCCGGACTGCGCTCCACCGCAAACCCCGCCCGTGTGTGGGACTGGAAACATGGCCTCCAACTTTATGCAGCAGCTCCTGCAAACCGTTAACAATAGCTCGGCTAAAAAGTCGTCTGGATCCGGTACCACCTCAAATTCGGATCACCACGACACGAAGGGCGGTTTTATGACTTTGGCGCCCAAACGGCGTTTGCAGAAGGCGCTAGCAAAGATGAACTTGCTCAATAAACAACATCACGGAAGCAGCCTAAATGATTCCTCGGATACGCTGCTAAACGATCCCAAGTCAAAACTCTCTGCAGCCACCTCATGCAGTAGTTCAAATCAGTCCTCGATCAACGGCTGTACAATTAGTGGGAGTGGCCGACTCTACCAATCCCAATCAAATCCTGATTTAACTAGCCTCAACTATGAAGGAGGTAGTGAAACGGGGGGAAATGATGACGGAAGGTTACAGGTAAACTACCTGGGTGCCCATATTCACCGGCCATCAGCGACTAGTACCTTAACCACAAATTCGACACAATCGCACCTTCTCCCCGACTTTCCGGATCACGTGCTAAAGGTATACAAGGCAGACCAGACATGCAAATACGTGCTTATCTACAAGGAGACAACGGCCCATGAGGTTGTAATGCTAACACTTCAGGAGTTTGGAATTCACGACCCAAGTTCAAATTTTTCGCTATGCGAAGTAAGTGTAGGCGACGGAGGGATGGTAAAGCAGCGCCGGCTGCCCGATCAGCTGCAGAATTTGGCAGAGCGAATAAGCTTTGCGGCACGCTACTATCTCAAACTAAACGATAGCACCGAGCCGTTAGTTCCAGACGAACTGGCCTTAGAGCTAGTTCGCGAGTCTAGTGTGCACTTCCTGCAGCTTAACGCATACGAACTGGCCATTCAATTGACTCTACAGGACTTCGCAAATTTTCGCCAGATCGAGTCCACTGAATATGTGGACGAACTCTTCGAGTTACGCTCTCGCTACGGAGTGCCCATGCTCAGCAAATTTGCTGAGCTGGTCAATCGCGAAATGTTCTGGGTGGTGAGTGAGATTTGCGCCGAGCACAACATCGTTCGTCGCATGAAAATAGTTAAGCAGTTCATCAAGATTGCCCGCCATTGCAAAGAGTGCCGTAACTTTAATTCCATGTTTGCAATCGTTTCTGGCTTGGGACACGGTGCTGTTTCACGGCTGCGTCTTACGTGGGAAAAATTGCCTTCCAAATACCAAAGGTTGTTTAACGACCTACAAGACCTTATGGATCCCTCTCGCAACATGAGCAAGTATCGGCAACTAGTGTCCGCCGAGCTGTTGGCTCAGCATCCCATCATACCTTTCTATCCGATCGTCAAGAAGGATCTCACCTTTATACACCTGGGCAATGATACAAGAGTGGATGGTCTAATCAACTTTGAGAAGCTGCGAATGCTGGCCAAGGAGGTACGTCTCCTTACCCACATGTGCAGTTCACCGTACGATTTACTGTCCATCCTTGAGCTCAAAGGACAATCTCCATCCAACGCACTATTTTCTCTCAATCAAATGTCTGCCTCGCAGAGCAACGCTGCCGCCGGAACAGTTATCGCGTCCAACGCCGGCCAGGCAACTATCAAGCGGCGTAAAAAGTCGGCGGCGGCGCCTAACCCCAAGAAGATGTTTGAGGAGGCGCAGATGGTGCGTCGGGTAAAAGCATACCTCAATAGCCTCAAAATACTCAGTGACGAGGACCTTCTGCACAAATTTTCATTAGAATGCGAACCGGCGCACGGTTCCACCTACTCGGGCAGCATCTCGCACGGCAACACCTCGCACCGAAGCGGAGGCGGAAGCAGCATCAGTGGAGGAGTCAGCACAGGCGGAGGTGGCGGAGGCAGTTCCAGTCTAAATGCCGGCGACCAATTGAGCATATACTCTCATACCAGCTCCAGTTCGGCACCGAACTCGTCTCTTTCGTTGCGTAAGAGGCATCCAAGTTCGCCTACTCTTTCGACTACCAGTTCGACGAGTTCCACTAGTGATCATCAAAGGAGACAGATAAACAATAACGGTCCAAAGTTTGGTACAGCATCGCCGCAGGCAGTCAAAAAGATGCTATCGCTGTCAGAGTCATCCAAAATTCGTCCACACCAGCCGTTTGTGCCGCGTCACGGTTCCGTTATGGGTGGAGTTATTCCGCCTCTACATCACATGCATGCTGCGCATGGCTTCAGCACACCATTGGCGGGAGGAGTCACTTCGCCAGCGCCAAGTGTCGTGGGCAATGCGCAGTGCACGCCGAGTCCTAGTCCCTGCTCCCATAGACGTCTAGCATCGGCAGGTAGGTTGATGAACAATTTTTCCTGATTTTTATTGTATTTATCCAATTAATGTTTGCTTATTTATCACGGACGCAGGGAACATATTACCCGCACGCGCAATTCACGAGCGATCGCACTCGGATACCCCAGCTCCGCCGCCGCCATTACCTTCGCTTGATTTGTCTCTCGAGAGCAGTAGTGTGACTACGTTTCGCGATTTACCGTTGCGCAAATCCGTAACTTCCGGTAAGTGCCCTACTTCAAATCTGTAGTTAGGCATCTACTAAACGTTTGCTATTAGTTGTTACTAAAACCAGATAATAAGTATGCTTGGAAAAAAGGGTTATTTATTTCTGCATATTGGGAATATGTATTGTTTATTTTGCCGCTAGATAATGGTAAATATGACTATCTTTTGTTGTGTTATAGAGAAAAGGCAAGCAGGGATTTGTAACGTTTTAATAAGTAATGCTTGTTATTGTAATCTTTCTTTTGCCGTAGCCTCAGCTTAGCTTAATGTAGCATTTTTAACTTTTGCTATATTTCACATTTTTCCTTATGTTTTTAAAAACTATTTAAAAGAGGTCGGAGAAAAGAGCATTCAAACAAAAATTTTACTACGTTTCTAAAGTTGTAGTTCTATATTCCTACCAATAATTCGATTACACTAGTTTACAGCCAAAATGTTTCACAGCAATTGATGCAAATTCTGTTAGTGTTGGAGCCCTAGATCACAAAAATACCACTAATTTTTTTTCGATGGCACAGTTTTTTTTCAAATTTTTTTAAGTTCAAAATGTTAAATTTCTGACTTTTTCAAATTTCTTCCTATATCCCGTCTCATATGCACCCAAATGCGCCAGTTTTCGTTTCATGCTAAAGTCACTAGATCAGAGCTTAACTTTGCAATACAGATAATTATGATTGTATAAATGATGGCAACCCAGCAGCTCGACAAAGATGAAAAATGTGTTTTTTGGTCGACTGTAAGTCGGCTGTATATATCGGATTGGATATATTGGATTTTTAAAGTTCAGATTATTCCGTTTTTTTTGTTTGACAGAGTCAAATATTAAGATTTATCATAGGCGGCGGCATGTAAATAAAAATAATTGGTGTTGGCAGCCGCGTAACTAAATAGATAAATAAGATATTTAAAAGCGAGAATTAAAGTGAATTTAATTTTTGAAATTAAGGTTACTTCTTTTATAAGAATGAATTATCCAAATGGACAGTACTTAATTAAAAATACACACAGTCATAACGCAAGCAATTTTAATATTTTAGAGTGAATTTTTAGAAACTAAATTTATTTTATAATTTTCTAGCTTTTAAACTTAGCTAATTTTTGACCCGGCTGCCGTCACTACTCATTTTTGTTTACATGTCGCCGCCTATGATAAGTCTTAAATTTCGACTCTGTCAACCAAAAAAAAGTTGAAAAATCCAAACTTTAAAAATTCACCATAAATCCAATTTTTTATGGATTTGGGCCATATCCGGCTTCTTTTATTCGGTAGGATGTAAACTTTAAGTTTGTACGCATTATGATTTTTCAACGGATTTATTTGTAGTTTTTACGATATATACAGCCGACTTACAGTCGACCAAAAAACACATTTTTCATCTTTGTCGAGCTGCTGGGCTGCCATCACTTTTCCAATCATAATGATCTGTATGACAAAGTTAAGCTCTGATCTATTGACTTTAAAATGAAACGAAAACTGGCGCATTTGGGTGTATATGAGCCGGGATATATTACACTGTGCAGCATTTTTAGTGCTTTTTAAATTTACCTCGATGGATGCTATATTTTTGGATTCGTTACGAACTCCCAAGTTAAACTGCGTTTTTCAAAAGGTTCCCCGACGCAAGAATTCTTAGCAAAAGGACCTCAAAGTTCGAAAAATGCTGAAATTGGCCAACTTTCCAGAGCTCTCAGAGGCAAACGGATGCATTGTTTGATTTGATGTTAAAGTTTTTTAAAAGATACACCCTTTATCTTTTAAACCCCATACTTACAAAATTTTTAAGATTTTTTTTAAGGCAGAAACAAGTTCTAGAAAACATAGTCAAAAAACTTAAAAACATACAGCTGCGGTCAAAATAGTAGTAGTGTTGCCGCCCTGTGTATTTAAAAGTTTGTTGTTGTAATTGATCTTTTCCTGGTAATATTGTATTGATTATAATTTTACTATTAGACTAATTGGATACAAAAAATTACAACATCAATTTTTTTAAAACACAGGGCGGCAACACTGCTACTATTTTGACCGCAGCTGTATGTTTTTAAGTTTTTCGACTATGTTTTCTGAAATTTTTTTCTGCCTTAAAAAAAATTGTAAAATTATTCTAAGTATGGGGTTTGAAAGATAAAGAGTGTATCTTTTAAAAAACTTTAACATCGAATCAAACCATTTATCCATTTGCCTCTGAGAGCTCCGCAAAGTTGGCCAATTTTAGCATTTTTCGAAGTGTGCGAAGGCGACTACTTTTATATAGCCGCAAAATTGAAAATCTGCTGTGATAGTCCGATCGTAATGAGTAATACACCAATCGAAAGGTATTGCAAAAACTTAAAGGATTGCATACCAAGACTTTAAGAAAATCAATTGGCTTGGGAGAGAGAGCGGTGAAAGTGAAAAAGTGCAAATTTCGAAATTTTTAGCTGTTGGGGCCGGTGGGGAATAATGCCCCCTCGCAATGTTTTAGTTGTGTTTCTATTGAAAATACCCGTCGAATGAGGGGACATATGATAAAATCCGACGCTCCGTTCAAAAGTTATAGCCAAAATAAGATTTTCTTCGTCTTCCCAAAATGAAAATTTAATTCTGTTTGTCAGTTTGTCAATTTGTCCAAAACATGTTTTTTAAGTTTTGAAAATTTGATATAACGTTCATCACATCGATATAAAAAACTTTTGTTCTACCACTTTTGGAAAAACTCGCTAGTTTAGCGAGAAAACAGCTATAAATAGCTAAAATTCTGAAATCCGTAACTTCTATACTACTAAAGCAACAGACTTGTGCTGCATCTCGTTTGAAAGGTATTTTTAAATGCTATAAACCAGGGAACGTAACTGTTATAAGTTTTATTTTAAAAATCACACTTTAACAGTTATTTTCTGATTTGTAAAGTAAAACTCAAAGAATAACTGTTATTTTTTGAGTTTTATAAAAAAAGTTGACAAATAACAGTTATTCGTCGTGATCAAAAATAAAACTCAAACTTGATTTATGGCGATTTTGTGGGTAAAACAAATTTTAAAAAAATATAGGTATAAAATATGCGCGGTTGCCTTTCTTAACAAATTTTTAGTAAGTTATATAAAGCACGGGTATCATGTTTTTTTAATTATTTCATTTTTCAAAAATGTCAAGGGAATAACTGTTATTCATAAAAATCAAAAAATAACAGTTATTTTTTGAGTTTTATTATAAAAATCCAAAAATAAAAATCATTACGGATTTGTAAACTACAATGGCTAATAAAAATTGTGGTGTATTTAAAAAATTTTTAGGACCCTTCTAAGTGCGTGATTTTTTTGTATGAAAAATTTACAATAACAGTTATTTTCGGTCCCTGCTATAAACGCCTTCTAAATGCAATTTGTGTAAATGTAATAGATATGAACAAAAGACCATTTTTTAAAACTTTTTTTAAGCTTTTTTTTTATTTTTCTCAAAAACGGCTCTAACGATTTTCTTTAAAACTTTAAATTATATAGCCCTTGAGATTCCTTAAATTTTGGTATATAACACATTACTGTAAAAAGTCACGTTTAAAAGTTATTTTTATACGAAAATAGCCACTTTTGCCAGCTCGAACTACTAACGCTCCCTGAGTATTGAATTTTGTGTGAGGGTATCCGAACTGTATTTTAGGGTCATGGAATCAGTAAATTTGCACTTAAGAGTTCCATATAGCAATTTTTTGTTCTACGACTTTTGGAACTTTAGCGGCACGATACAACAGAAAACTTTCGTGTAGATATTAAATATTTACTAAAGCGGGCCGAACGAGTAAATTTTAGGTAGCGTACTTATTTAGTTGCATCTAAAATCATTTTTCGTCACAAAAGTTGATATCAAAACTTTTGTACGTTGAAGGTGCGATCGTCACTAGTTTTTTACCTCGTTAAGAGGTGTTTTTATTTGATTTATCATAGGCGGCGACATGTAAACCAAAATGAGTGGTGACGGCAGCCGGGTCAAAAAATAGCTAAATTATAAAATACATTTTATTTCTAAAAATTCCTTCAAAATAGAGCATGTAATAGGGTCTTCCCACAGAGCTCCATCCACCATCTACCATCCGTTGAACGGATGGTGTGGACGAATTTTGGATGACTCTGACAGCGATAGCATCTTTTTGACTGCCTGCGGCGATGCTGTACCAAACTTTGGACCGTTTTTGTTTCCACAGAGCTCCATCCACCATCTACCATCCGTTGAACGGATGGTCCGTAAGGTTTTGCAGTTCCGAAAATTTCCCAGTTAGTCCGCCATCAAATTTTGACGGACTTTGACGGGCTCTTTTATGCGATAGTTAGGCGATGTTTTCTCGGTGCAACTCTGAATTCATCTTCTTGACTGTGAAAATTGGAACGATGACTGCGAGAACAAATCAAATCGATGGCGGAAAAAAATGAAATAATGCTTCAGCTCATTGTTTTTTGGGTCTTTTTGAATTATTTGTAGTTTGTTATGAGCGGAAAAGCGTTCGCGAGCAGGTTGCTATGTGTGGGCCAAAATGTGCGTACGAAAACATCAATGTTTGCAGCAAAGTGTCAAGTGTAAATATAACTAATATTAAGTAAAAGTGTACTTTGTACTCCTATAAAGTTCCAAAGTTGCTATAATTTACCAAAAACAGTATAAATTTGATTTTGTTTACAAATTTTTCATATTAATATTGGCTAGGCAGAGGCGTTGTAAGAGCGGAGTGTTGGGTACGGGAGGTTAGGCTCCCCCCAGTCAGCAATATGTATGCATACTCGTTGTAGGATATGTTATAAACGTTCAGATATGTTTTTAAACTATTTTCTTAATCTAATTATTGTATTATTCTACAGTCAAACAAGAGAGAACGCTATAGTCGGGTGCCCCGACTATCAGATACCCGTTACTCAGCTAAAGGGAGTGCGAAGGAGATGGTAACTTTTTAACGATAGGTCCGATTTAAAAAATTTCTTCTACATTTCGATAGGTATTGATAAACACAATAAAACTGCATTTTTACTTTTCCAAAATATTGCAATTTTTAAAATCGTATATAAGCTATTGTAGGCGTTAGAGGGGGCGTTGCACCCTTGCGCTGCGTAGGAACTCCTAGAATCTGCATGCAAAATGTCAATCTTCTAGCTTTTATAGTTTCCAAGATCTCAGCGTTCATACAGACAGACACACGGACAGACGGACATGGCTAGATCGACTCGGCTAGTGATCCTGATCAAGAATATATATAGTTTGTAGGGTCGGAAACGCTTCCTTCTACCTGTTACATACTTTTGCCTTTTACTCTACGAGTAACGGATATAATTAGGAGAGCGCAATTTTACGACAGTTTTCCCGAGTTGAAATCCCCCTTCGTTAATGTTGAGCTGAGCAACTGCTCTTCAGTCAGCTGTTATTGGATGGTAGATGGTGGATGGAGTTCTGTGGGAACACGAGTTTCACATTCGTCAAAAATCCCAACCGTTTCAAACGGATGGACTCTATGGGAAGAGGCTGTTAAAAACAGTTGATCGTTTTTTCGTTTGCTGTCTCGGTCTAAACAAAACCGAAACAATTAAAAAATTTGGTTTTGGTCTGAGCGAAACACTTTGTTTCAGTTTGTTTCGGTTTTCGGTTGACCGTTCTCGACTGAAAATAAATTTTTCCGGTGCTTCAAAAACCGATTTTTGGGACCGTTTGTATGAAACTTAGACTCAGACTTACATCTTTAAAAATGTAAGGTAATGTATAGAACATTTATTTAAATATACATAAATGGTAAATAGCTTAATTATTAGCACCAGGTGCATTACAATTACTGTTACCATTAACTTCTAAAGAATACGCTGTTTTAAGTACAACCTCAGTAGGCCTTTTAAAATAAAAATCTCAAATAATGATTATTTACGGTCCCTGATAAAAATCAACGGAGCTATAATTTGTTTCCAAATAATTCTTCGATCGTTTCAATGGCAGCTATATGATATAGTCGTCCGATTTTAATAAAATTAAAATTGAAATTCGGAAATATTTAAAAAGAATCATATCCTAGAGTAGAAAACAATACAATAAAAACCAAAGAAGCCAAAATTTATTTCCTTTTACTTTCCCATTAATTTTCCGATCGTTCCTATGGCAGCTTTATGATATAGTCGTCCGGTTTTTTAATTATTTAATTCGAAATTCATGAATATTTAAAAAATAATATTTCCAAGAGTAGAAGGTAATATTTCAAAAAACACCGAACCATTATTTTTTTATCGTTATACCCGTTACTCGTAGAGTAAAAGGGTATACTAGATTCGTGCAAAAGTATGTAACAGCTAGAAGGAAGCGTTTCCGACCCCATAAAGTATATATATTCTTGATCAGGGTCACTAGCCGAGTCGATCTAGCCATGTCCGTCTGTCCGTCTGTCCGTCTGTCTGTCTGTCTGTCTGTCTGTCTGTCTGTCTGTCCGTCTGTATGAACGCTGAGATCTCAGAAACTACAAAAGCTAGAAGGTTGAGATTTCCCACACATATTCTTTGGCTTCCTACGCAGCGCAAGTTTATTTTAGCCGAGCGCCACGCCCCCTCTAACGCCCACAATCGCCCACTAACGATTTTAAAATGGGTCCTGCGCCCACATCTTTAAAGATTTCCGAGAAGTATAAATGCAATTTTGTTGTGTATATTTATACCTATCGAAATGTAGAAGACATTTTTCAAATCGGAACATTCATTAAAAAGTTATACGCAATCAAAAATTATATATCTATCTCCCTCGCACTCCCTTTAGCTGAGTTACGATTATTAGTCGGGACACCAACCCAACACAGCGTTCGCACTCCCTTTAGCTGAGTGACGGGTATTAGATAGTCGGGACAACAACCCGACTATAGCGTTCTCTCTTGTTTTTTTTTCGATCCTTCCTATGGAATCTATAAGATATAGTTGTCCGGAACCGATCGGTTCCGACTTATATACTTTGCGTAGAAACGGACAGACAGACGGACGGTATTTTTGTGATCTAGGGCTCCAGCATAACAGAATTTGCAATCAATTGCTGTTGACCACTCCAAGAATATTATTTTGTAAACTAGTGTTATAATCGAAGTATTTTTTTATTATCGGCAAAATGCCCAAATACAAAAAATATATGCTGAAGGTTTATGCACTATGAGCAGTAAACATTATACACTATGAGAAAACAAATGGCTTAAAACCATCAAGCACGAGCTTGCTACACGCGGGACCCCTTATCATTTTACCAAAAAAATGTGAGTTCACGAGGAAATCACATAAAGCAAAGACAAAGAAAATAACGGCAGAAACTAAGAATATCTGAAAATGTTTCAATTGTAGTTGTTAATATCGGGATAGAAGTTGATTTGCAAATAGAATTATAAACGATGATAGGGGTTATAAATATTGCAAAAACGCGAAAGGGCTCTTGTTGAATACAATTTGATGTTCATCGTGGCCAGTTAGGAGGACAGTACAATAGTCGGCATAATTATTTTGACAAATTTTAAAGTTAAATCTTCTCATATTTTGAACTTATAATAGAAACATTTTGGCTCCTATAGAAAGAGCACTTCAATTCCGTTTAAATGACACAACAATGCACTATGGGAAATTTGATCACTTTTTTGGCCAATATTAATAGCTTCCTCAATTTTAAAGATATAAAAGTAAAACTTTCGCAATCGTTTTTATTTACCACAACTCATATTTTGTATGAATACCTTTCGGATCGGACAACTATATCATATAGCTGCCATAAAATTGATCAGATCAACTTTGCTATTTTTAGAGATAAATTCATTAAACTTGTTGAGTACCGTGTTATAGCTTTATTTTTATTTTTACAACCTCTTAAGTCCGCTTTAATTGTCCAATGGTAGCGATAAGTGTTTTTGCCTTACATTAGTACACATTTCAAATTAAAGTCCATTGATATCTTTCTTCCACAGTGCAAACATAGGAGCATTTGCAAAATTTGAGGTTATGATCTAAAAAACTAAATTTCTCAAAGAATCGTAAAAAGTGTATTTTCTGACTACATTCATTTTTGAGATAATTCCTTTCTTTTTAATTCCCAAAGGTTTGATGGATGGACTCCGCTGGACTTGCTTTGTATCTCTATTAAAAAATTTGTTTTCTTTTAAAAAATTCGTGTTAGACCGGTCACAAAAATAATTGATTTCAAGAAAACCACGATTAATTTGGATTGCTTAATCACAAAAATACTTAGAGCAAAGTACCATCCTTTCAATTATTTCAAAAAATTCCACTTAGAATTTTTTAAAACCCTTCTTTTTAGCAATTAAATAGCCTCAGCGTTGCGTCGAATTTCTGTTGCTTGTGAAAGCAAAATACAACAGCTGATATAACAGCTGTAAGTTATCAGAGGCGCCCTCTATTGTAATTCCTGTAATGTAACATTGAAGATTGGTCTTCTGTTGAAGTATTCTAAAAGAAACATTTTTAGTTTAACGACTTTAAAAAAATGTGTTTTGGCCAAAAAAAAAGTGGTCAAATTCCCCAAAGTGTAATGTTTTTAACCCATTAAGCACCCTTTGAAAAGTTAGAAAATTAGAAAATTTATTATGAGGGTCAAATTTTCAACTTTTATTCTGGGGCTTAAAACAAAAATGTTTTGATGCAAAGTTTTTCCCCATTCAAAATTAATAATAACTGCAAAAAAAAAAATTTCAAAAAAATTTTTCCTTGTATTTTTTATGATTGTTTGAAAATAGCTAAAAATTACAATTTTAGCCGCTTTTTCCACCTTTTCATACAAAATTTTACTGATTTTTTCCATTCAAAAAATAGCGTTCTCTTTTGTTATACCCGTCACTCGTAGAGTAAAGGGTATATTGTATTCGTGCAAAAGTATGTAACAGGGAGAAGGAAACGTTTCCGACTCTATAAAGTATATATATTCTTGATCACGGTCACTAGCCGAGTCGATATAGCCATATCTGTCTGTCCGTCTGTCTGTCTGTCTGTCTGTCCGTCTGTATGAACGCTGAGATCTCGAAAACTACAAAAGCTAATTTGATTTCAGATTTCCCACCCATATTTTTGGGCTTCCTACGCAGCGCAAGCGTATTTCAGCCGGGCGCCACGCCCCCTCTAACGCTCACAATCGCTCACTAAAGATTTTAAAATGTGTCTGGCGCCCACATCTGTAAAGATTTCCGAAAAGTATAAATGCAATTTTGTTGTGTATATTTATACCAATCGGTTATATATTCATCTCCCTCGCACTCCTTTTAGCTGAGTGACGGGTATTAGATAGTCGGGACACCCAGCCGACTATAGCGTTCTCTCTTGTTGTTTTATATAATCTATAGAAGGTCTCAGGGTATACTAGGCAATCGAATAAATTGAAACTTTTTTTTAGTTGCCATTTTTTTACATCGTTAGTTGCGCTTAAGACTCAGTTCCCCGCTTGCATTTGAAAAATATAGTTTTTGGTGGTTGGACTGGGCTTGGTTGGTTGTCGGCTAAAAATAAACGCGCACGCTTACACATGCACACTTTCCACTCGTGGTGCCATTAAATGAATCTTAAAGGAAGGTCACCATTTCATGGCCGCCATTTGAGACATATTCTTTACCCTCATTTCACACCCAACAGGTTCGATATCTTCCTGTGACAGCGGTTACGTGCATCAGCAGCAGCATTATAACTTGCAGTACCAGCATCAACACGAGCCATCCCCACCAGTCTATACTGCAGCCGACTGCCGGTTGCTGCAGCAAATATCGAACAACGCGGTGACCCGCAACTTGAACAGCCCATGTCAGGGATCAAATACCCCACCCAGCACACCCACACTACCACCGAACCTGCCCACATCAACCATTCAGCTTTCTGCACTGCCGACGTCTACAGCATACATGCACTTACGCAACCAGCATCACCAGCTCCAGCAACAACAGCAATCTTTGGCAATGCCTCCTCCGCCTCCACCGCCATACAATTTGCCCCCCCTGGCCAATCTCTACAGCCACCTCCAAGGCAATGCGGTCAGCAGGCACCTGAACCCCACGCATGGTAAGCTGAACATAAAAGGTAGAGTGCAACTATTTCTAGATCGGTATCCAGCGAAAAAACAAATGCAAAGCGGGAGTCGAGTCGTCAGGTCTTTGTGAAATAGGCGATAATGATATTTAGGACTTTTTTATTTTGATCTCTTTAAAGTTAAACCTTTTCACCACCTTTTTTATTCTCTTATTTATTTCGCAGGTGGTCCACCGAGTTTTATGGATAGCACCAAGTGTACAATATGCCCTATGCCACCCATGAATCAATAATGAATTAAATGTGCTGTTTTCACTGATATATGGTTATTAAATTAGTGTGAGTATACAAACACATAGAACATTTCACCGCAAAATCTTATCATTGCACTGCATTATTTGTTTTCTTCAAATTAAATATAAAAGGAAATTTTTAAAGAATATTCTGTGTTTCTTTAGGAGGAGATACAGAATTGTTCGTATTTTTTTACCTTTGCAGAGGGTATTATGATTTTAGTCAGAAGTTTGCAACTCAGTGAAGGAGACGTTTCCGACCCCATAAAGTCTCTGCGTCTGTCTGTCTCTACGCAAACTAGTAGTCTCTCAGTTTTTGAGCTATCGGGATGAAACTTTCCCAAAAGTCTTCTTTCTATTGCAGGTAGTTTATACTATATATGAGTGATTCTTTGTGAAACGTATCGAGATTTTCTTCATGGTCTCAAAACGATATCTAATTTTTATGACACTCACACCATTTAAAAAGGATTTTTAAAAAAGTTTCAAAAAAAATCCATTTGACAGAAGCGAAGATATGGCGTTGCTATTTTTTTGTTTAATTCATTTATAATTTTAAATTACGCTGTATAAAAAAATAAATAAAAATACTCAAAAATTATTATTTTTGCCAAGCTTTCAGATGAAAATAACAACCATAATGGTTCCAATGCAAAATACGGTCCAAACTTAAAAAAAAATTTTTCATTTGCGGTTTTCTGCAAATCGGCATTTTTAATCTTTATAAAAAAATAGTATAATGTTCTATACATAATTCTTGTAGGCTCCTAAAAGTTTCGTCATGGGACCTCCATTACTTCCTGCATAATTTAATAAAACATTAAAAAACAAAGCAGTCTTTCGTTGTTATACATTAAATTATATTAGACGAACAGTTTCGTTCTTCATGAATTCCGGGAGAACGACCGTTCCCCTTTAGGTAAAACCAATAGGAAAAATGCAGTTTTGTATAACAAATAAATCCCTACAAATTTCAACGTGGGACAATAACTTCTTGCTACTTATGTAGTTCTAAGGAAGAACAACACGTTAGCAACACCTTACATCCAAGCTAAGACCATTCCACGTTCTCAAAAGCACCATCATATTGCTCCAACACCTAATAGCAAACTCTTTTAAAAAGATAGTCATTCGCTGAAGACATTTAAATTTTCCCAATACACAAATCATTGTAAGGAGGCTTAAAACAACAGTGGAGCGCCGCCACAGGGGGAATCAAGGAGCGACATGAACCGAACGAGGTGCGTTATTTACCAGGAGCCTGGAATGGTCTTATAATATATTATAGCTCCCATAGGAAGAATCGAAAAAATAAACGTTAAAAAAATCATAGCTTCGGAATTTTTTCAAATATTACCTTCTACTCTTGCGAATATTATTTTTTAAATATTTCTGAATTTCGAATTAAATATTTAAAAAATCAGATCACTACAGATCACTACACGGTCGAAATTTTAAATGGAAATTAACAGGAAAAAATTATATCTTTGTGGATTTTTATTACATTCTCTTCTACTCTGGGATATGAATATCTTTAAATATATCCGTATTTCGATTTTAATTTTTAAAAGATCGAACTACTATATTTATAATAGAAATGGTCTGCAAGGGTATATAAGCTTCGGCTTGCCGAAGCTTTATTTCTTGTTAAATTTTGTATTTGACCTAAGGGATTGTGCCAGCATTTCGCGACTTGGCATGCATAATTTAATGAATGAATTAATGCATTTTTTTGTCAAGAATAATAATTTGGGCAATTCTCTGCTGTCGCACGCGACGTTCGTACGCTTTGCAGGAGAAAAAAACCATCTTCCAGGACTTCTGTTCTTTTAGCACTATGCTCAAATTAAAGGTCTTAATTAGCACTAAAATATGTGCTACGGCTGACTTTGGGACATTTTTCGTTTTTAAGATATATAAAAAAAACCAAGACTTTCGCTCGCGACACCAATAGAAGTGACATATATAAATAACTACTTAACCCACACATGTGTCGGTCATTTCATATACCCGTTACTGGTGGAGTAAAAGGGTATATTCCCTGTAGTTCGCCGGGACTGGTCCCGAACTAGCGAAATCGCCATACACCGGGGGCTTGGGACTAACTCCCGTTCATACCACCCGCAATGTAAATTTCTATCCACTTTTACCACGGCATGTCCTAGGCGGTGGTCATATGGCGAAGTTCTGCATTACCTTTCGCCACAAAAGGGACCGATAGGTGGTCCCATATTATACCCCTTTTCGCCACAAAAGGGGCCACCTATCGGACCATCTATCGGACCACCTATCGGTCCCTTTTGTGGCGAAAAGGGGTATTAAATGGGATCACCTATCGGTCCCTTTTGTGGCGAAAAGGGATATGAAATGGGGTTGGTGTTTTCAATACCAAAAAAGCTGAATGCTATGAAACTTCCCAAGAAAAAACTACTTTTTGTTAAATTAATTTATTGTATTATAAGTAGACAATTTTTCTATTTTTTTAATTTATATTTATTGAACAAATTCCTCTGCTGACACGTTTTTGTTGAGTGCCTCATTGTTGTTATTATTTGATTTGGATTTATTTTTAAAAAATCGTTTCTTTTGCAATTGAATTGCCTTGGGAATCAATATTTCTGCATTACCAGATTCTGAAACAATATCTAAAAAAAAAATAAGATTTTAGTGTTTTAAAATAAAATGAGAACAGAAACTAACTTCGGCAAGCCAAAGTTTTAATACCCTTGCAGCTTTCAGGAATAAAATTGTGACTAGAAAAGCATAAATATAAAATAAGAATAACCAACAGTTAAATGTAGACTTATTTCACGCTTTTGAAACTTGAACCGACAGACAGACGGACATGGTTAAATGGATTTACTTTATAGGTTTGAAAAGGTCTCCTTTACTGCGTAACAAACTTCTGGACTAAATTATAATTCCCTCTGCATGGGTTTAAATATATATTTTTAGATTTTGTTATACAAGCCTCTTTACATCAAACCATGTTTTAAAAGTGAAAAGCTGAAAAAGACAGAAAGAAATAGGATTAAAGACAGATGGCATTCTAAGTAAATAGATTGAAATTGAATCAAGAAACTAAGTGTATTATAAAAAATACAGTTATAAAAATAACATACCGTGAAGTGCACCATAGAAATGTGTAAAGGAGTTTACGGCTTTTTTTTCCAGAAAGGCCAAAGGCCAACATTAAATCCCACAACAAACTCATCCGTGAGAACCCTCCCCAAGTTTTTTTAAGCCCCCTTCTGGCAGCAACAACGATCTCATGGCTTTAATCTAAAAAGAAAGAAAATTTCACTAAAATATTTATATCAAAGAAAAAAGACTTACGTAGGAGTCCTTTGCACCACTATTTCTCCTTCTCCTCTTTAACAAATCGACGAATGTGCCTGTTGCTGTTCATGGCTAAATATCACACATTATTAGGTATTTCACTTGCACAACTCATGGTGTTACTCACCTGTTGACGACACTTCAGATCACAACAAAATATAACACTTTAAATGTACAATAAGACAAATTAAATACAATGTTTACAAAATTTGGCGCAAACGTTGGGTTAGTGATGGTAGCGGGGTTGGGTAGTTATGGCAATCCGTTACGATTAATATTGCGACTACCGATATCGTATAATCGATGGCAATAAAAACATTCGCTAATATTATTTTTGTTTAGTTCTATGTATATAAAATTAGGTACTTATATATTTATTTTATATATCTAAGCACCAATAAAATCCGCTTGTTATGGAAGGAAAGAAAACGTTTTGCTTCTGAACCACCGCTATTGTTAAAAATATTGCTGCAGCTAAATTGCTCATTATTAAATATAAATAATATAAAAAGAAATAAAATTCTATCATTTATTATTTTATTTTATCTCATTATTAAGTTTTTATTTTATTATTTTAACTTTTTTTTAATTTGTTTTTTATATAAACAAAATAAAGTTGTATTCGTTATTAAAATCATTATATACTTGTCAAAAATTTCATTTTACAATTTTTTTAACTCATATAGAAGTGTTCACATAGAAGTGTTCACTCTTCGATAACTCTTTTGCTCTTGTAAAAAATACACACGCCACCTATTGACCCTTAAGGGACCACTGGGTGGTCGATCCCTTTTCTACCCCGAAAGTGCCACCGGCCCCCTTGAGAACTACAGGGCCCTGTAGTTCGCCGGGACTGGTCCCGAACTAGCGAAATCGCCATACACCGGGGGCTTGGGACTAACTCCCGTTCATACCACCCGCAATGTAAATTTCTATCCACTTTTACCACGGCATGTCCTAGGCGGTGGTCATATGGCGAAGTTCTGCATTACCTTTCGCCACAAAAGGGACCGATAGGTGGTCCCATATTATACCCCTTTTCGCCACAAAAGGGGCCACCTATCGGACCATCTATCGGACCACCTATCGGTCCCTTTTGTGGCGAAAAGGGGTATTAAATGGGATCACCTATCGGTCCCTTTTGTGGCGAAAAGGGATATGAAATGGGGTTGGTGTTTTCAATACCAAAAAAGCTGAATGCTATGAAACTTCCCAAGAAAAAATACTTTTTGTTAAATTAATTTATTGTATTATAAGTAGACAATTTTTCTATTTTTTTTAATTTATATTTATTGAACAAATTCCTCTGCTGACACGTTTTTGTTGAGTGCCTCATTGTTGTTATTATTTGATTTGGATTTATTTTTAAAAAATCGTTTCTTTTGCAATTGAATTGCCTTGGGAATCAATATTTCTGCATTACCAGATTCTGAAACAATATCTAAAAAAAAAATAAGATTTTAGTGTTTTAAAATAAAATGAGAACAGAAACTAACTTCGGCAAGCCAAAGTTTTAATACCCTTGCAGCTTTCAGGAATAAAATTGTGACTAGAAAAGCATAAATATAAAATAAGAATAACCAACAGTTAAATGTAGACTTATTTCACGCTTTTGAAACTTGAACCGACAGACAGACGGACATGGTTAAATGGATTTACTTTATAGGTTTGAAAAGGTCTCCTTTACTGCGTAACAAACTTCTGGAC